AAGAAGATGATCCTTCTTTACTTCATGCTGATGAGATAGAAGGAGATCTCCTTTATGATGAGCAAACACTACCAAGAGCTATTATTTCGCAGCAGGAAGAGGAAGGTTTGAATTTGAATTTTCTTGAGAGCTTTATTACATGCTGTCACTTTTATTATATTGCTCCTAATAATGCTTTAATCTGGTTTGATTACTTTGATGTATTTGTTTATGAAGATGATCAACAAAGAGTGAATGTGGCAGAGGGTGAAGGGATTGATTTAGGATCATTTGGTCAGGAAGATGATGATAGTTACAACTCAGATGCTGATGCTTTCGAGCCTAACCATGCCTGGATTAATCAAGTGGATTGACAAAGATCTGCCAATATCTTTGGCAAGTAATGAAATTATTAGTTATCTTATAATGTTTGGCTTGTGGATTGTAGATTGTTGTACTTGTGAACTTGTTGCATCATGTTAATGACTTGACCAGAACATATTATGGTGTTTTTGTTGTATTAATGACTTAGGTGTTTTGAAAGACTTAAGTGGTGGTATATTTTTACTAACTTGTTGTATTAAAGACTTGGGTGATATTTTAAAATATATATATATATATATGTTATTTTTTATTTAATTATTAGGTAGCCGGTTCGACCGCCGGTCCGACCGGTTGAACCATGAGACTCGTGACCCGCTGACATTTCCGGTTCGCTGTCCGGTCCGGGTTTTAAAACATTGGTATTAAGCTATTTGTCATAACAATTTCACATTTAAAATAATTAAAATGTAGCATATTTGCCTTTGAAGTTAAATATTTTAACGTTGACCATTAAAAATGATAATTAGGACTTAAGCTCAACTGAAAATGTACCTATCATGTCAAATAAATCTAAGTTAAAGTGTATTTTTGCCGATAAATTATTATTTGAGGAGCGCACAATGTCTTAAACTATTTGTATTATAGCAATTTAGCCCCTGAAGTAATTAAAACAGTACAAATGAACCTTAACTTGAATTCACTTGACATAACAGATGTCATTTTCTTTTATTAAATTTAATTCTAGTTAGCATTTTTAACTGTCAATATTGAGATATTTAATTTTAAAAGAAAATATATTACATTTTAATTACTTTAAAGGTAAAATTACTATGACAAATAGTTTATAATACTGAATTCTTCTCAAAAAATAATTTATAGATAAAAATATATCTTAATTCCTAATTTTTTTATTATGACAAAACATGTTAAAATGACAGATATACAAGACTAACGGGTGCATACGTACTTTTTTCTTTTTTTTTTTTTTGGCGCCCGGGGGGGGGGGGGGGGGCATGTGCACACACTTGAGGGCATTATCATGCTTCCAAACACTCTACAATCTTTATTTAACCAACTGCAAGTCTAACCGCTCTATGATACAGATTCGCGATGAGGTAGTAACCAATTACTATGAGATTATATATCAGAAAATAAAATTAATTAAAACTAACCTTTTGACAATTAATCATATACTCCCTCTATTTTTAAATATAAGAGAAACTATCATATATCTCTTTGTTTTTATTTATAAATAAAGCTATAAATTTTAAGAAGTATTATCACATTTTTTCAAAAGTGTCCCTCATAAAGTCAACATTTATTTTCACTAGATAAAGTTGTTTTATTAATTACAGGAACAGTTTAATTCAATTTTTTTAATTTGAGATATAATTATTATATTTAACTAACTTTTTTTTAAACTATTTGAATTGATTATTTTTTCTTATACATGGGAATAAAAGGAATACTGCATAAGAAACTATAGCAAATTTTGCATCTCATTTGGCATTTCCAACTCAGAACAAATTATAAAGCATACTTCCTCTATTCAAAAATGTTGACACTATTTTTTAATATTTATTCATATTTAATATACTATTTCACTTTAAACTAAATATAAAGTGATTTATTCATGATGAATATTTAAAAAAACATAATTATTACATTTTAAAACATTAAAAATGTCTTATATTTTTAGATATTCAAACCCTAAAAAAATATCTTATATTTTTTAATAAGGGAGTAATTCCTACTATTTAGTGGCAGGTATATAAATATCTTTTTTTACTTTAATTGGGAAGGAATTATCCTAATGAAATTTTTAAGTTTGTACAGAACTCAATTGTATATCATTAATTATTTTATTGGCAAACAACTCTCTGATGACTCTCTCTAGCTAATCCTAATTATAAGGTATCTTCTAGAATATTTTTTTTGTCTATAATATAAGTGTCATGTAATAATATATAATGGCTTGCCATTTTTATTCCTGAGTCTTTCAACAAGTGCTCTGTAAATTGATACAGTAATAATAATGATGCCTGCTTATATTCTTTTAATTAAGGGTGGAAATGAAATCTTGGGATATTTATTAACAAATTTAACAATATTGCATTTTTTTTCTTAAGACACATGAGTTAGTTAAAAATAGCTTTTATCTAAGATCAGGGGGAGTAATTAATTAGTAAATTATGTTACCATTAAAATTTAACACTTTAAAGGATATCGTTTGTGAATAATATAAAGTTTTAGTGATGCATGGTTAAATAGCATATATAATAAAGTAATACACAGCTACACAAGGCTAGTCAGGTTGTAAGATAAATATATAGAGAGAGAGAGAGAGATCAAAGGTTTAAATCCTAAAAAAAATTACATAGGAGTATCATGTCAAGTATAAACAAAACAAAACAGTAACATGAAAAATGCTTATATCAACCAACTTTTCTGAATTGAGCATTTGCATCATATTAAATTAAAAAATATCATTGTATACATCAGAAATGTAAGCGTGTATTATATTTCAAGCATCCCCTAATATTGGACATGTAGACTTCACTGCTCTTCACTCCTCTCGGATATAAATGGCTTTTCAACTGCTGAGCCCACGCACAATAGCCCATGCCATGCATTCTATTATAATATGCTTTTCTCTTGATATAAAAGTCAAATGCAAGTCATATGTAGAAAAAATGATAGAAATTTTTTTAAAATATAAAAATAATAATAAAATCTTACAAAATATTATAATTATTTTTTATTTTTTAGGGACCTTTCTAACATTAAATATTTTTGATAAAATAGTTAAAATATTCTTAGTTTAAAATAAAAAAAGTAACAACTTTAGCAACAACAAAAAACTAATTTAGTTTAAATAATAATTACTTTTCTTTTAATAGTAATTAGAACAAAACAACTAATTACAATTTTTCTTAGGTAATTTTTTGATTTACTAAAATTCAAGTGTTATAAATATTTGTTACTATTTTAATTTAAATAATGACAATTTTTCTTCTAATAATGACTAAAACGAAACAATCAATTACAACTTTTCATGCAAAATTTTTAATTCATTGAAATTTAAATGTTATAAATATCCATGATTAATTTAGTTTAAATAATTAATTATTTTTTTAATAATGATTAGAACAGAACAAATAATTATATAGCTTCCCTTATGTAAATTTTTGATTCACTATAATCTAGGTGTTATAAATATTCTTGATAATGTTAATTTAAGTAATGACTAGTTTTGTTTTAGTAATTATTAAATGAAACAAGTAATCACCATTTTAGTTTAAATTGAGGGTATTTTAATTATTTCATCAAAAATCATTAATGTCAAAAATGTTCCTAGTGATTTGAGAATAATTATGACATTTTGTGACACTTTATTTTCATTTGCATATTTTGGTGAGATTTTTCTATTATTTTTCCTTGCATGTTCGTCATCTAACCAATAATTAATTATAGGGGAAGTGTCATTTAAGGCCCTCTAAAAAAAATTTATCACACTAGGGAGATCTTACGAAAATATGTATATGTTATTAAAAATTAAACCTTAACTTATATTTTTTGTTAAGATTCTCTTAAAAATTTAACAAGTTAAAGTTCATTTTTTAATCACATATACGTGTTTTCGTAAAACAAATATCTGATACAAAGTTTATAGGCCCTCATTGTGATAAATTTTCTTGCAAGGGTCTTAAATCTAATTCGTCCTTTAATATATCACACCAAGAACCTATATTATTATAATCTAAGCATGTGTGAGCGGAAAATATAAAATAATTTTATAAAAACATAAAAAATAAAATTAAAGAATAAATTTTCATATAACCGTGCTATAGAAGAGTAAGGAATCCGAGCAGCCTAAAATAAAACCTAGCTCATAAAAAATTTTAAATAGTCAAACCTGATCCTAACCTCTTTAGACTTCAAGCTTATTCAGATTGATTTGAATACCTTAATTATCAAATTTTTAATTTTTTTAAAATACTTTTTATTTTAATTTTAAAATTAATTATTTTATTTTATAAAAAATATAAAATATATTTTTTGAGATATTGTGGAAGACTTCAAATTTTTTTAAAGAAAAATTGTGAGCCTTAAAATGTAAAAATTAAGATTAAAATACATTTTAAACATTTTCTTGAGATATTTCAAGGATTAAAAACAATAAAAATAAAACAAAGTAAACATTTTTAATCTATAACAATATATTTAAATTTATAATATTTTAATCAAAAATAACCTCAAACTTGAATGATTAATTAATATTTAATATATATTTTAAAAATATAATTTTTTGTTTAGGTGTTCAAGCCTATTCAGGCTGATCAAATAAGTCCTAACATTTTTAAAATATCATTTAACTAAACTTGACTGTAAATTTTTTCGGGTAAGCTCAAATTCCCTACTTTTGATAAAAGTATATACGGATTGGCAAATCTTGGGCAAATTCTAACCCAAAAAAAAAAAAAAAAAAATCTGATGACGCAAATCCATGAAGTGAACAGGATTCAATCAGCGCACGTAGGCTCCATGTATCAAGCTTGAACCAAATTTCTTACCGTCGCATTTATATGCATGACACTTAAAAATTTCAAATCTAGGTCATTACAAAAAGTAATCAGCAGATCAAAAAAATTGGAAACAGTACATGACATCTGAACTGCCTGAGAACGAAAGTGGAATTGAAATCCAAAATAAAAATCGATTTTTCAGTTTTTTTTTCTCTCAATGTAGGAACTTGACCTCTAATCTTGAATATCAACTACATTAGCTTCTAGAACACAATCCGAATCAGAATTACAACTCAAATTTCACAGGCGGGCATCAGCACTAACCAAAACACAGCCACCACCAATGAATGAACCCTAAATTTGAAAATTATATGGGGAAAAAAAGGGACCGAAAAAACTTATTCTCTGAACAGAACTTATATATATGTTACAAATGCTATGGATGGATTAAACTATCCTCTAACTAAAGCTGAGGTGGGTCAGCCACGGTGACCTGTCAATACAACACTCAGGAACATTTGTTCAATGTTATTCCACCAGGAAGGAACTTAATTCGGCTACACCTTTTTAACTTGGCTACAGCTTCTTGTTGCTTACCAAGCGAGAGATCCACATAAACTCCAGTGAGTGTGGCTTCTAGACTGTTTGGTAAAATGGATAGAGCCCGCGTAACCAATTGATGGGCTTGCTCAAACTCACCCTGCAAAGCGGACATCGCAGCAAAATTAGCATAAAGTGTTGCCCGTGCCGCTTCTGGCTTGAGGAAAACAACAGTTTGCGAGTCCTCAAGGGAAGAATTATTTGCTGTCGTGGATCCTCCATTCACCTCTTCATTTTCAACCATCCTCCTCGCTTGCCATTTATCACAGTCCTCGAGGCTGAAAGGCAAGTCAACATTATTTGCCTGTGACAGATAAACTGACAGATGTTCAGCCGCTTCCTTGGGTCTATTTAGCAAGCAGAGAGCCTCTGCTGCATAAACATGGCCTAGAAAGATGTAAATTTTGAGACATTCTGGAAGTTCCAACAGAGATCTTGCAACTGACAATGCGTTCACAGGGTTGTCCAACTCGAGCTCAACATAAGCCAAATTGGCAAGAGTAGCTTGCTTAATTAATTGATTTTCCCGTTTACAGATGTCTTCATAATAGGTTAGAGAGTTCTGAATGAACTCCTGATTACCTCCTCCCTTCTGTTCTTTTGTGTCCCCGTTTGAATTAACCTGACCTAAACCTACCGATACTGAAAGTCCCTTGGAATCAATGCCGTGTAAGTTTTTATTATTTGAATTCTTTGAAGACGAGTGTTCACCTGGATTGTTTTCCTCCACGGAAGAATTGGAAGGCAAGCCAGACTTCAGACTTGTGCTGTAGGAGTCCAGCAAGTGTAGGGCATTTAAGAGACACTTCCTAGCAAAAGACATGGATAACTTTGGCTGTCTATCATTGCCTGGACAACATTCATCGCTTTTAGATGAGTTCGCAAGTCCATTTCTTGGAATCTTATCTTCCACAGCAAGTTGCCTCCATTTTCCCTTCCCAACAACACGAACTCCAACCTCCAATGAATCTGACGGAATACCACTTGCAGTAATTAGGCCCTTTTCCAATGCCATCAGACAGCATTCAGAGAGTCTGAGCCATAACAGAGGCTGCTTATAGAAGATCAAACTAGCCTTCTCAAAACAGCGAGCTGCAAGTATTGGCTTTCCACAAGCCAAGTACTGCATGCCACTATTGTATACAATAAGGAGAGAGTTATCCTGTGAGAAAGTGGCTAGCTTTAGTGGCTGCTCCTTCCTAAGAGATGAACAAGCAGTTAATGCCTTTGAGAAGAAAAATGACGACGTCTGGTGTTTCCCAAGCTGGTAATAAATGCAACCCAGATTGTTGTCGAAAATGCTTGTAAATGCTGCATCAACCCAATTACCTGATGCCACCAGTAGCTTTATTGCTTTGCGGTGGTTACCACGAGCATATTCAAGCTGAGATTTCAAAAGCAGGGCCATGGACGAGTCTCCTCCACGTCCAACATTCATAGCCAACTTGACTTCACGTTTTGCTAGCTTCAAGTTCCGTGTAAGAAGCAGAAAACGAACCTTGTAAAGTTGCAATTTAAGCTTCAACTCAACAGTAGACAACTGATCCACCAAAGCCCTTGAATGATCATTTGATGATGGGCCAGTTGGCCTTGCTAAATTTTGTCCACCCATATCCAATATCATGGCTTCATACTCAAAAGTCTCATCAGATAAAGCTCTGGATAGATGATTTTCAGATGCATTAACATTTGGACCTAAATCTGAACTGGATGCTTCAGCAACTGATGCACTAGATGAGACAGATGAAGACTTTGTAATTAGGTTAGCAGATTGTTGGTGTGCTGAATTCACGTTATCACCTTGACTCACACAGCTAACACCAAATGCTTTTTCCAGATAAGTCAATACATCCTAAACAAAAAAGATTCCAGCATCAGAACAATGCACTTGTGAAAATTCCAAAGCCACAAAAAAGGAACCAAAATAAATATTTATGCCATTACTCAACATATTGATAAAAGTAAAATAGGATCCATGGGGGGAAAAGTGAAATAATAAATGAGAACATTTTGCCACTTTTTTATCAGGGAAAAACAAATAAAGGCAATCCCTCATTTTATGTACCATAAAAGTTTCCATTAGACCACATAAATATTGGGGTAGAGTTTCTGAAGTCCAAACAAGCTTCCTCTTATTTAGTACATGTAAAGATATAACAAACCATTAGACAGCTAGGGTAGCCATAAGATAATGTCACATATAATTCATCGTAATAGAAACAATTTCACCATCTTCAACTATCAAGAATTACACTTCTGTGTGAGACATGCACAATATAAAGAACCTTCTAATAGCAACAAAGCAAAAGGAAAGATGGTTAACTCAACGTAAATCCAATGACAAGGGAAGAATGATTCAAGTGACTAACAATATTCACAATTTTCAGAGACGAACCATCTGCTTGTGAAGAATATACTAATGTAATCAATGCTTTTCACAATTCCAATCAATCTCAGTCTTTCTAGTTTATGATAGAAAAGGTAAGCTCTAGTCCCTTTTGTCTTCAATTGATTTTGTTCCTTTTTATCATAGTTGACTTATGACAGGTCTGGAATCCTGATTCTTCAGGTATTTTGTCTTGCAAATCTCAATCCCATTCATTCTCCTACAAGTGAAAGGTTGATAATAGATAAGAATCTAAAGCTCCTGTAAAGGTCAAGTCCCATGTTTGGATAGCAATACTGAAAAAGACATGTTGCAGAATTAATGGCCCCATATAGCCTTTCCCCTGATGCATAATGCACGGATCTGATTCAGGAACTCAGTTTCATTTATTCCTCCATTGCCCAGCAGTGTACCTTAGGAATGATAAGTGGCGTGGAATTATTGGCAAATCTGATTTTTTTTTTTGTTGGACAATCTTGAAAGACCTGATTGAGTTAAACAATAGCAAGATATGAAATAAAAAGTTGTTCATTAGTTTAGTTATACTTGATATATTAACTGGCACACATGACATTGAAAAAAGAGTTGCCAATGTTGTCAGAGGATCAGTACTCAGCCCCTATGTATTCAAATTCAAATCCTGGCAAAGCTAACTATTTTCAAAAGAAAGGAACTTAATTTAAAACCTAGAACCATGAATCGAATCATTTCTCCAGTTAACCAGATGCTTTTCTAGGCATTTGCCCAGCCCTCAGTTCTTCTAAGTGAAACAAAACATATGATTATATAACTGGACATCTGGGCCAATATCCAAATCCAATTCCAGTCAAACTGGCTAGTCCAGTCCAGTATCAGAACATTACAAAACAGTTTAATATAAATAATCCTTCATTAGCATGATATTAACTTCAATTAAAGTCTTCCTAATGTAGAAGTTGAATCAGTCAGATATTGTAACATCAAATCCCAGTTCAACTGGCTAGTCCAGTCCAGCACCAGAACACTACAGAACAGCTTTAATAGAAAAACTACGTAATTAGCATAATATTAATTTCAATTAAAGTCTTCCTATTGTAGAATTTGAATCAGTCAGGAATTGTAATGCCGCTTTCCAACCAAACACCATGAAAGATCAAAAAATATAGAAGGATTAAGGTGTATTTTTGCCCCTGAACCATTTTCCAAGGAGCACCCATTGTCCTAAACTAGTTGCTATAGCAATTTCGCCTTTAAAGTAATTAAAATGTAGCATATTTGCCCCTGCCATTAACTACCCTAATGGTGACTGTTAAAAATGCTCATTAGGACTTAAGTTTGACAAACAATGCCACCTATTATGCTAAGTGAATCCAAGTTAAGATACACTCTTGCCCCTAAACAATTCTTCGTGGAGCACCCAGTGTCCAAAACTATTTGCATCATAGCAATTTCACCTTTAAAGTAATTAAAACATAGCAAAAATACACCTTAATTTGGATCCACTTAGCATGACAGGTGGCATTTTTTGTCAAACTTAAGTACCAGTCAATATTTTTAACTGTCAACATTAGGGTATATAATGTAACTCCGCCTATGTTTATAGCCGGTCCCAAGCCCGGGTAAAGGAGGAGGGTTGTGTTAGGCCATCAACAGCCAATGTAAAAATTTGTTGAATCTATCATGAATATGGACAATAGACGTTATAATGTTAATGCTAGGTCGTTGCCCGTAAGTAACGCGCTGCATGGCTCGAGTACAGTGATAAGTGAGTTAGAGCCACTGCATCGGCGCCTGGATGTAGTGTTAAATGAGCAAGGGCTACCGCGTCATTTTGGACGCACGCGGCTAAAGAAGTTAGTCCATAAGAGCAAAATTAGATTTGGTACTTGGAATGTTGGGACATTAAATTGTAAATCTGTAGAGGTTGTAGGAGTTATGATTCAAAGGAAAATCAATATCCTTTGCTTTCAAGAAACAAAATGGCGTGGAGAAGGAGTTAAGGATATTCAAGGTTTCAAACTTTGGTATACAGGAAAAGTAAGTGCACGCAATGGAGTAGGCATCATTATAGATAAGGAGTGGAAGAAGAACGTTGTAGAAGTTAGTAGAATTGAAGACAGAATTATTTCTTTAAAAATGATAATTGGACGTGAGACTGTTAATATTGTTAGTGCTTATGCGCCGCAAGTCGGGACAGAAGCCAGTCTTAAGGAATTATTTTGGGAGGATCTGGAGGGGTTGATTCGACACATACCACAGCGTGAAAAGATTTTTATTGGAGGAGACTTTAATGCGCACGTCGGGAGGGAAGCTGGTCAGTATGCGAGGGTGCATGGTGGTTTTGGTTTTGGAGAGCTAAACAATGAAGGGCAAACTCTTCTTGATTTCTCATTGACGTATGATTTTAAGATTGCCAACACTTGTTTCAAGAAGAGAGATGAGCATCTCATCACTCACAAAAGTGGAGCCTCAAGGTCGCAGATTGATTTTCTTTTGGTTAGGAACACAGATAGAAAACTTTGTAAAAATTGTAAGGTGATCCCTGGAGATGCTGTAACGACACAACATAGGGTCCTAGTCCTTGATGTGTGTATTATGAGTAAAATCCAAAAACGTCGACAAGTAGTAACACCAAGGATTTGGTAGTGGCAATTAAAAGGTGAGAAGCAAGATATTTTCAAGCGAAATCTTTTGGATAAAGGAATTTGGGATTCTCAGGGAAGTGCTAACATCATATGGGAGGATATGGCTAAAAAGATACGGGAGGTTGTAAAAGTAGTTTTGGGAGAATCGAAAGGTTTTGGTCCGAGAGATAAGGAGTCTTGGTGGTGGAATAATAGTGTACAGGACAAAATCAAGTATAAGAAGAACTGTTTTAAAGCCATACATTTGTGTAACAATGAGGAAAATTGGGAGAGGTACCGTATGGCTAAGAAGGAAACTAAGAGAGCTGTGGGTGAAGCTCGTTCCAAAGCTTTTGAAAAATTTTATAAGAACCTTGAGACGAAGGAAGGAGAGCAAAATATTTATAAGATTGCCAAGAGTAGGGAAAGAAAATCAAGAGATCTAGAACAGGTAAGGTGTATTAAGGATGAAGAGGGAAGAATTTTAGTTACAGATGATGAAATTAAAAATAGATGGGAGACTTATTTTTCTAAACTTTTCAATGATGGAGAGGATTCATCTAGTAACTTGGAGGATTTAGTAACTGGTGAAGGAGAACAAAATTTGTCATTCTATCGAAAAATACGTGATAAGGAGGTAAAGGAAGCTCTTAAGAAAATGGCAAATGGTAGAGCTAACGGACCTGATTATATATCTATCGAAGCGTGGAAATGTTTAGGTGAAGAAGGGGTGAGATGGTTAACTAAGTTATTTAATGTGATTTTACGGTCCAAGAAAATGCCTGATGAGTGGAGGAGAAGTACATTAATTCCTATTTATAAAAATAAAAGAGATATTCAGAATTGTACTAACTATAGAGGGATTAAACTTATGAGCCACACAATGAAATTGTGGGAGAAAGTAATTGAGCACAGGTTGAGATTGGAGACAAGTATTTCTGAGAATCAATTTGGTTTTATGCCAGGTAGATCAACTACAGAGGTGATTTATCTACTAAGGGGATTAATGGAAAAGTATCGTTGTAAAGATAAAGACCTACACATAGTTTTTATTGATTTGGAAAAAGCTTATGACCGTATACCAAGAGAAGTGCTTTGGAAAGCGTTGGAAAAAAAGGGAGTACGGATTGCTTATATTAAAGCCATACAAGATATGTATGAGGGGGTAAAAACTAGTATAAGAACGCCTAGTGGTCAAACAAAGGATTTTCCTATAAAGATTGGACTACATCAGGGATCATCTCTGAGTCCTTATTTGTTCAACTTGATTTTAAATGTTTTGACGGAACATATTCAAGAGGAAATCCCGAAATGTATGCTCTTTGCGGATGATATAGTTCTTATAGCAGAGACAAGAGAAGAGGTTAATTGCAAACTTGAGTTATGGAGGAGGACATTGGAGTCGAAAGGTTTTCGTCTGAGTAGAAGTAAGACGGAATATTTATATTGTAAATTTGGTAAAGGACTATTCGAAAATAATTTGGAAGTGAAATTGGGAGATCAAATTATACCTCAAGTGGAAAAGTTTAGATATTTGGGAGCCATTATTCAAAATGATGGCGAAATCAGTGGAGATATTTCACATAGAATTCAAGCTGGGTGGTTTAATTGAAGAAAAGCTAAAGGAGTTATTTGTGACCGTAAGGTGCCTAATAAACTTAAAGGAAACTTTTATCGTACTGCTATCAGACCGGTAATGTTATATAGTAGTGAATGCTGGGCTCTAACGGGACAGCAAGAGCATAAAGTTGGAATAGCAGAGATGAGAATGTTACGATGGATGTGCGGACATACACGTAAAGATAAAATTCGAAATGAGCACATACGTGAAAAAGTGAGGGTGGCACCTATTGAGGAAAAAATGGTAGAAAATCGGTTGAGATGGTTTAGGCATGTACAAAGAAGACCAAGGGAGGCACCAGTGAGAAGAGTGAAACATATAACTTTGAGTCCGATTAAGAGAGGTAGAGGAAGGCCTAAGAGAACACTCTTGGAAGTTGTTGAACGTGATCTCTTAATTAATAATATTTCTAAAAGCTTAATAAATGATAGAGCACAATGGCGTCTTGCAATCCATGTAGCCGACCCCACCTAGTGGGATAAAGGCTTGTTGTTGTTGTTGTTGTTGTTGTTGTATTAGGGTATATAATGTTAAGGGCAAATATGCCACATTTTAATTACTTTAGGAGCAAAATTACTATAACAAATAGTTTAGGACACTGGGTGCTCCTTGCAGAATAGTTTAGGAATAAAAATGCACCTAACCTCAATATAGAAATCAGATCCTACTCAAACAAATGCTACTCACCAGAAAAGGCGCAATGTCTTGACGAAAGAAGAAATTTTATCAAGAAGAGACAGAATACAAACACGGGATAAGACAACCTCCACCAGAGACTTCTAAATACACAGGAAAAGTACATCCATAATACACCCTCTAGTTCCTTAGTATGTCCATGAAGGAAAGGAGACAAAAACATTTATCATTTAAAACCTTCTGCACTAAATTCCATAAGCATAGAAATCTAAAACTCCATTTACAACCTTAACAGCACAATGTATGCTCCAAATTTTTTTGAAAGAAAAAGTTTCAGATTTGTTTCTATTATAAAGGGGAAGTTTTCATGATTTTATTAATTAGAATTAGTAGTGTTGTCTACAAATCACACAATACATTTCTATTCATATGGCCACCAACTCAGATAGCAGGCCAAATTGTTCAAATACCAGAACTGCAGCCGGAATCTTACACTATGGTTGGAAGGGAGAGGAAGGGATTTTAATGGAGGGGAGGTGAAGAGAGGGGAGGGGAGGTAAGGGAGAGGGAGGGGGAGGGGGAATGGGAGGGGGCGGGAGGGGCTTCAAATCCCCCCAATTTGGGGGGAGGGTTGATAGCGGAGGGACCCTCCCCTCCCCTCCCCTCCCCTCCAACCAAATATGCCCTTATAAATGGACACAACTGTGCAGTTTCCACTTCATCGGAAAACTTCAATAAGCAGTAACATTTTTGGGTGATTGAGTCTATGGTGCCTCCCAAAATAAGTTCTTTTCAATTATTTTAAATTTATAAATAAAAAACCACACTGTTTTGAGTTTAGTTTAATTAAAAAGGATACAAAAGGTCAGGAATCCGGTCCTTTCGTTTTGATTAAAATTCTGTCTGTTTCAACACAGCAACTGCTGCGTTCTTCCCACCATCATGTCCTTCCAACTTTCTCATCAAGTATCATGACCTTTTTCTCAACTATCACCTACTTCAGGTTATCATTTGCTAATGCAGCATTGTTGGTTATAGGTTGTTACTATGCCTCCTAAGTTTTCTTTTTAATACAAAAAAAAAAAAGATAAGGATTGGGATCATCATACACATCCAGAAGCCTGTTTATATGTGAAATGTAAATATTGTCCAAAGAGAGTATAGGGGACAAATTAGGAACTTACTATTTATAAATTAAAACTTAACTACGGAAATAAGTTACAATTTAAGATACTCAATCCATAATCCAAACCAGGCCAACAAACATCCAGGTCCGTAACAACCAGCAAACTCGTTATATTCCAAGCAAATTGCAATAATATACTATGACCATAAAAAACGATCTAGTGGAAGTATCTAATACTCAACTTAATAAATGTTCTCAAGTGGCATTGGCAAGGTTTTCTAAAATCTCAATTACCAAATCAACTAATCAATGGATGGTCAATAGAAACACCATTCAACACATAAACTCATTCATACCCAGGTCCTTTATAATATAGAATTGACAAATATATCTCTTCTGTTGATAATATATTCCCCATAATTTTTGGATTAAAAATCCAGACTGCTTCCATGCGATCATTATTACTTGATGGGAAACAAGAGTGGAAGTTTATTAGCCTCTAACATGCATACCAATCAAATTTACGCTCAACCACTGCACTTATAAAATAAAAATATCCACATGACAAGAGGTTATAACAACATGACATGTTATAGTCCAAGTTGATCAGCAACACATAAAGTTATTAAACTTGCAATCCTAAAAAACAGTCAAAATAAAAATTATAAATATCATACAACTTTGATCAGAACAACAAATTGAATGGTCAAATAGAACTTACAGCTGACTTTGATGCATCATGGCAAGCAAGGCTAGCATCCAGCAGCAGAAGACAAATATGTAGAGCTGTTGTCTGGTTTTTGAAAGAGAACCACAAGAGAGAGAGAGAATAAGAAGAAGAAAACCATTAACACGTCATTTAATTATTTAGAATGCAATAACACTAAAGTAGCCTGTGACATACCTCATCTATAGGTTCAATATTTTGATAAAGGGGTTCCAAAACTGATATTGTCTTTGAATACTCGTGCAGATGAAACCAAATGATGGCCTAAGAAGAATGAAATCACAAAATAACATAAATTTATATATTCTAGCCACAAATATATGCCTTCTCAAGAAACAAGCAAGATAGAAAAGAAACAAGACTAAGGAGGAAAATCAACATACAATATTTAGCATTGCCACAGAAGAATCAAATTCATCTGTAAACATCGTACTGGTGCTACTTGCACCTGAAAACTGAGGTGCCAAAGTATTACTTCCTTTGGATCCCAAAAAAACTTTATTTCCAATATTGTTAGCTGACTCTCCTTGTTCACCAGAAGCCTGAGCAAGTTCATTGCTTTTCCTCTGAACCAATTCCAGAAACATGTAAAGGAGTTAGTACAAATAATAGAGATGATAGATTGATAGCTATAACCTGCAACTAAAAAGTAAACCACATTAGCCTGAGTCAATTTTAAATTGTTAAATTTGAACATCATGCTTCAGGCCAACTTCAAAAGCCTAAATAAAATTCCCTATCTTTTCCCATGGATTTCCCTGAATTAATTCTAGGGAAAACATAATATTTGATCCCTATAGTTTCATTAGGTTTTGCTTTTAATTCCTGTAGATTTTTTTCAGTGTTTTCAATCCCTATAGGTCCTAAAACCACTGAAAAAACAAAAACTATAGGAATTTGGAAAACAAAGATAACCCAATCTTTTTGAAACTATAAAGACTGAAAACACTGAAAAAAACTACAGGGACCAAAAACAAAACCCAATAAAACTATAAGGACCAAAGATTGTGTTTTCCCTTAATTCTATAAGAAATTAAACTACTCAATCCTTCTATAATATTATTATAAATCACAACCAGAGGAAGCAATTTAAGGCTTCATTGTCATCAATATATACTCAGTCAATTCTAGCAGGTGTTGAAATCTGGTCTCTATTATTATTCAAGAAAAGAAATCAACTCCCAGCCCATTCTTATAATGTGAAATCCACCTGAATTTAGAGATCAATGTATTCATTGACATTGACATTTTCCACAAAGCATGAGGCTCACAAACTATTGTATAGGAGAGGCCAAATCACGATTCAAGGCCATCATCATCATTACATTTACAAAATATTTCAAATGTGGCAATGGTAATGGCGTGTCTGAAATCTGAATTCCAGTTTTCTAATATATATGAGATAAAAGAAACTATGGTTGTCCACAAGTACCAAGAAACAAGAATAAAACACAAAAAGATAATCACCTTATAATATAACATACCTTGACGCCATTAAGTAATTCAATCAACTTTTGGGGATCTGAACAACCATCTCGAAAGAATTCCGCAATTGCAATATTATGAAGGACCTGGGTAAGAATGAGAATGAGCTCAAAAAAAAAACAAAAGAAAAAGAATGGATAATCCATATAATCTTTTCTACAAAAACCAGTTTTACAGAATTTTTTCTTGAAGCCCCATTGTTTAAACTTATTCATGACATCGCAAACCTAATCCATCAGCAGAATGCCATGAAAAGGAACTACAAATGAAGAGGAACATTTTAATTCCAAGAAACAAGCGTAATTTCTGACGTTAAGTTAGAGATCTATAAGCATCCAGTAATTGTTCCATTTATAATTAGACGACCATCAAGTAACTTAAACCAACACTCCAACAATTTTTTTTTACTAACCAGTCAAATTGATAGAGGTTGTCCTCGAGAAAAATTTCAGGCCAAAGTTCTTCAAGAAAAACCATCCAAACAACCAAACTTTCTGTTCCACATTAAGTAAGGTGGTTGTTCAAGAAGTGTAACCAATTTCTCCCGATATCCAATGTTCTTACAGGCCAACAAACAGATACGTTTTTTAAGTCCATTTAAACCATCTTAACGCATCTAATCCATCCCATGCAAACTCTTGCTACCAGATGAAACTTAATAATTTGTGTAAACCAGTTGAACCAGTATTGCGGCTCTAGCCACAGATGCTTAACTGCAAGCGCCCATAATATATGATGCCTGGCACACGCCAAATTGAACCTTACCATTCAGAAGAAATTAATACATAATCCACTAATCACCTAATAAATATCAGTTGCTACAAAATTTGCACCAGCCCAAGAAATGATTAGGTGACAAGACAAATTCAGGTGTCATCGAAACTTTCAGGACTTGGACCGTGCAGATTATAATAATAAGCATCGACGATTTTGGAAGCATTGATCACACAGAGATGAAGAAAGAGAAGGAACACTGACAGGATCCATGCAATTGAAAAGGAGAATTACCTTGGGATCATCCGGTTTCTTGAGCAGGAGCTGGTTCAAAAACTCCACGCATTCGGCGAACTTGCCAGACTGGAAATGCAAGTCAGCATCTTTGGCAAGGGCAACGGTAGCAGGGAAAACATCGTCAGTATCAGTGGTCAAAGAGCCTTCGCGGTTGGAAGAAGGGGCTGCCGTTGACGACGATAAATCTCGGCCTTCCATGCTCAGATCGAGTAATTACGAAATAAATCGTATAGAGAGGTTTAGGAGAGGGAAGGAGAAAAGCCCTAAATTGAGTGAGTGAAGAGTGAAGAAGGAAAAGCCGGGTGCAATGAATCTGAATCACATTCAAAATCGAAATGAGAAAGGAGCTTGGAGAAACAAATAATTCGCAAATTAGCTGAGAGAAGGGCTTGTATGTGTAAGTTTGCTTTCTTGCTCAAAGAGAGAAACAGCCAATGAAAACCTATTCGCCGAATCAAAGGACAAGGAGGTGAGGATAGAAAGAGGAGGACTCGAAGAAAGAGAGAGAGAGAGAGAGAGAGAGGGAGTTTCTTTCTTTCGTAATAATTTTTCTTTTCTTTTCTTTTTTGACGGGGATTTTAATCATTTAAGACGTGTTGCCCTGTTTATAAAAATTAATAAAATTCGGTAACATGGCACTATCATTTATTTTAAATTAACAATAATTAATTACATAAAAATTTAACAATAATTAAAGTTAAAATATATTTTTAATTTTTAACTTTATATAATATTCTAATTTAATCTTTTAATTTTATAAAATATTTTTAATTCTTTAACTCTAATATTGTTAGTTTTAAATGATTATTTTTTATCAATAATTATTATTTTTAAAAAAATAATTTTAATATGTTAACATTTAAGAATATTTTATCAATATTTAAAAATTAATTATAAAAATTTGTTAGGATAAAACTAATAATATTAAAGTTAAAGGACTAAAAAGATACATGATAAAATTAAGAGATTAAAATGAAATGTTGTATAAAGTTAAAAAATTAAATATATACTTTAGTCTAATAATTAATTAAAAGTTAGTTCAATTAATAAGAATTTAATCCATAACTCATCAAATCATAAATTAAATCTCACTATTAATGTGAAGATTTTATTGATAAGCAATATATAAGTGTTAGAGGTAGAAATAGGACCTGTGGCCTCATCTAGTTGAGGCTTGGCCTGGCCTATTTCATTAAACCTCTTTAGCTAAATAAGCTTATTTTTAAAACATGTTTAGCCAAAAAGCCATGCCTATTTAGGCTTTTTTATTAATTATATATATTATTTTATTTATATATCAAATACATTTAATTTATATAATTATATTTTAATTTATATTCTTTTGATTGAATGATTGAGCATTATTGATAATTTTTTTTAGACTTAAAATCTAATGAAAGCTCTTTAAAACATATTTTTTGAACCAAGTAAGCTCTTAAAAAAGCTTTAAGCTTTATAAGCTTATAAAAGGTTTAGACCTGAGCTTAAAAAAAAACCTATATACAAATTTGAAATTTAGGCCTTAAGCCTTTGTTATAGGCTCACACGTATTTAAGGAAGGTCCCTTACCTCACTTGTTCACATCCCCATTTAAACATATCTTGATTTGATGAACTCTTAAAATTCAATTCACATAAATTTTTTTTATAAAAAAAATAACTAGCCTCACAGAGATTTAAAAAAAAAAACATGTCAGGTTTTTCACTATTTTTGCAAAAACAAAAAAAATTGTTAATGTAAAAAAAAAAGGAAATAAAAACAGTTTTGTACAGGGAAATACAGCTACAAGAAGTGGATAAATGAATAATGTAGCAATAGATGAATTGTAACAAACCTCAAAAATTAAATGTAGACTGTGTTTTACATGTTAGACAAAGGTATTGACAGATACAGGTAATGGAGGCAAAAACAAACAAATACATGGAAAGTATGTATATTAATATAATAAAAATTAGTAAAATTTCATTTTATTATAAAAATATCAAAATCTTGTTCTTTACTTTAAAAATTTCATGATTCATTGTTGAGACTCGTAATTATTATTCTTAACATAAACTAAACAAGCTAAACAATGGTCCAATGAAGTGTCTGCTACTAGCAAGCAATAAATGGAGAGTTAGCGATAAAGATCATTATTGTTAGTCATCATTGCCTCAAATCCTTATTTCATTTCAGGCCAAAAAAACAAAAATCCTCATTTCATTATACTTCAAACAGATCAAAGGTCAATATTTTTTTAGGTAGACAAAGCTAAGATCAAAAGCTTGAATGACGGTTTGTTCAAGAAGGATAGAGTATAAAAAGTCAAGGTTTTGTGTGCAGGATTTGAAAAATAACATTAAGCAATATTACAATGGTCATTCTTCATTTACTAGTAACTAATAATAGTAGGTTGAATTGTAGGATTTAAAAAATACTACCTTCATTTCAAATTATAAGATACTTTTAGAAGAAATTTGGTATTTCAAAATTTAAGATAGTTTGATAAAAAAATGGTTTCATTAATTATACTTATCTAATATTATCCTTTCTATATATTACCTCTCTTTAATATTTTTTTATTAATGGAGTATTAAATAAAGAGCACTTTTGAAAGTTCATATTTTTGTTTTGAAAAATAAAGTTATAAGGTATACTTAATAAATTTTATTAGATATATAATTTTATTTGAAAGTATCTTATAATTTGAAATGGAGAAAATAAGTCATATTATTTAATATTATGATTCATAAATGATAGATAAAAATGAAAAATAAAGACATTGGATAAACTTTTTAAAATTTATACTGTCAACCATCATTTTCTTATTATATTCCTCATAGAGAGTTTGAAAGATGAGTGATATCATTCATGACTTTAAAATAATGCCATAATTATAATTTTTATAATACATAATAGATAGATATATTAATATTGTGTTTGACACGAAGTCTGATGTAAATATTCGTGATTTATTAATAACTTAAATAATTTGGTTTTTTAACAATTTTATTATATATTGATATTGACTGAAGGACTTATCTATTCCAAAATATAAATTGTTTTAAAATGCAATTTTTGTTTTATTTTATGTCTTTCAAAGTTCAATGCGAACATTTATTGATTTTTTTTTTCTATTACATTCTTATTTATAATTTTAATTTTAATTACACTCACTTTTTTATTTTCTTTTTATTAATTATAAAATGAATTAATGACAAATTTGAAAATGCAAAAACAATCTTGTCATATTAATGGTAATTTTTAACTTGTTTGAAAATATCTTAAAAGATATATATTTTTGCTCAAGCAAATAAAGGAAAAAAAATAGGTTAGACTGATATCATTGTAAAGTTTTAGTGCACTTGCTTAAATTTTTGTATTATGACCTAAAGAGTGTTAAAAATAGAGCCAACGTAATTTTAACGAAAGTTCCTTCTTTATTTAAAATTTAAATTTGTATAACCAATTTCAGGCCAAAAAAATTGTATATCATCTGTATTGTCGTGCAATTGTTGGTGAATGATAAGTGAAGGGCAGCTGTAAATACCTTCATCAAGGGTAGGGTTAATCTTCACACAAGTGAGAAGTGTGTATAAGTGTTAGGTAAGTAGAACATTCCACTGCATGACTAGCATCACTCACATGAGGTGATCTTCCCAATTGATGTTTGTGGGAAACAAAAAAACATTTAACGTGTTAAATTGTTGTGAGAAGTGTGCGTGGATGGATAGCATATTCAACCGCTTAGTGATAAGTAGGACATCCTATCACTTTAGGTACCACTTACCCTAACCCATGGTTTAGATGGGAACAAAAGTGGAGATGAAAAAAATGTTAAGAGGAAAAATGGCCAAATTTATTATTTTCGGTAGTTTTCCCTCTTAATATTCTCTTCCCTGTATTTTCCCCGACCTTTTTCGTCGATCCAAACCAGTAAAAAGGGGTTTTCCATTTGGTATCAGTCCACAAAAGGAAAGGAAAAGCATCCACAAATAGAAAATTAGAAATCACATTTCTGAGAATTCTGTATGTACAAGTGTCAACCCAACCCCACAAAATAAAAAAAAAAAACGTTTATATAGCTTTTCTCAACATGTGCAATATGGCTTCAGAATCCCTTACCTCTTGGCTTTCTTGAGAATCTTCAAGCCCTTGTGAAAAGTCAATATTAGTGTAAGTTCGAATTCCTGGGCCATGTCCTCCACCATCCCTTTCCCTCCCTTGCTGTGCTCGCTTCACTTCCTTTTGATGCTCAGTCAGTTCTAACCTCTTTCTTTTCAAATTCAACGGCAATGTGGGTGCTGATGCCTCTTTCTTCTCCAGGTGGTTCCTATAATCAAGCTCTAATTCCACTCTCTTAGACGTGCTGATATGCTTTGGAGTCACCTTGTATCCTTCATCAAGAGCATGATTGGGTTGTTCATGAGAGAGGCATTTTTGAAGAAATGGGAGGAATCTCTTCTGGAGTTTTAATTCACGGTTTCTTGATAGCTTGTCTAAGATGGGAAGCAATTTGGGTGGAAAATCTGATATGAATTGCAGGCCAAACGTGGAATTCCAGAAGCCGATGGTTGGCTCTGAAATGGAGGTATGTGGATGATCAAGAGTTTTAACAAAAAGGGGTTCATAAAGTTGCAGAAAAGCTGAACCAAAGTTTAATGGCGGTTGACTTCTTCTTAGGCAACCGAGAATCTCGGTCCACATGAATTGGAGATGATCATCAGCGCTTTCATCCCGCATTCCCATATTTGACAGCCATTCAAGTAGCGGGGCGGACATAATCTGCCAATCAAGCAAGTGAAAGACTACGTGTTACTCTAACAAATTTACAATTTTCAAGGTAACAGAGAATGAATCCCCCAAACAACAACAACAATAACAAAGTGGAGTTCAACTATATAGATTGAACGACACTATAATGCTTTTTCGACAGCCAAGCCCACTCAAGGTCTAGACAAAATTGAGGAAATCGCTGCTCTAGACACAATTGCCTGATTTCCTAAGCCAAACCCACTCAAGGTCTCTTACATGAAATTATTAGAGTTGTTCCTTAACCTTTTTCTAGTCAGTAATATGTAAGCATACAAGATTCAGCTGACGATCGTGTGAATAAAGGAAACAAACCTCAAGGAAAGTTATAATATCTTGCTTCAGGTGGAGGCAACCAACAAAGCATGCCAGTGCAGAATAGACCCTACGATTTATGCCAAAGTGAAGAGTTACTCTAAAAGCAACCAAAGCATGCACTGAAGGAAACAAGTCAAACGCTATATTGACAGACCTTGAGGTGCTGACAAAGCCAGGCAGTGGGTCTACTATCTTCTTCTTCCCCAAGAAGTTCACATACCTGTAAAATGCCGCATGAAAATGAGTCTCTTGGATAACCTGCCTAAAATTCTTCAAATTATAATATGAGCAATCATTTGCAATGAATAACCTTAATAGATAGAAGCATTGCACGATCTAAATTTTGATTCTGCAAAATATCACCCAAAAAAATAAATTCCAATGATCATGCCCAAATAAATGAAATTCCTACCAACTGAACAAAACAGCAAAGTACTTGTTCAGCGTTCTATCAATTGGCCACTTGAAACCATGATCTCAACAATCGTATAACTAACATTCCAGAAAAAAGAACACATCCAACATATTATTAAAATGCAACAGAAAAGGGGGGGATCATGTTTAAATACCAGTGACATTAATTTCTTAAGCCCTTAATACGGAATAAGCGTAATACCAACACTCACTCAAACATATAAAGAAAGACTAATGGACTCAAGGGGCTCTTAGCTGGATTTAACAAGACATAAATGGACTTACCCAACGGAAAATTTTAAGCAGTTTTCAATGCTGCCGGAGATTTTTCTACAAATGCCATTTTGACTCCTGATTGTCACCGAAATTAGTTCTGTAGCCTGGATATGTTCTAGAATGCATATCATAAAATTTCCCAATAAATAAACGAAGCCAAGACCTGTATTCTTGCCTGTTGAATTAATCTCAGTACTGCTCTCAAGTAAGCCAGCATTTTCATCAAGGAATCCAGTTAACGATGAAAAAATATCCTCATTGAAATTGGTCGATGCTGAACATCTAAATTCCGAAGCACAAAAAAGTCCATAAAGCGATTTCCAAGTTTGGATAATGAGTTCGAACATGGGCATTCTTTCTGATAATATAGGATGTTTCTCCAAGTTTGGAATATTTGAGTGTACCACCAGTGGGTAGAGTAAAAGATGGCACATGGAAGAATAGCAGGCGTTGTCCGACATTGCTTCCTGTATTAACTTGGCATCATGCACGGAATGTTTTAGACCCTGAGCTACTGCTACCCATATGTTCAAATAAATTGGTCGAACGTGTTTGTACAACAAGTCAACACAAGCAAGGAGAATGTCCAGGGGATCACTTGAAGAAAATAAAAACTTGAAATATTCACACATCCCTTGAGAATTATAGTCTGACTGGGGGAAATTCGAAGTTAACTGGCCCACCACATGGAAGTAAAGTGCTATTAAATAAACCAATGGAGAAACCTTGTCCTTATAAGAAAGGAAAATCACACTTCGAAAATTTAGGTGTTTGACATGATCTACTGGCTGCAAGTTGCCAATGGACTTCAGGTCCAAAGTGAACTTGTATAGAGGAGACGCTAAGATAGAAGGACCTAACTCCTTGGTGATAGCATCTACAAACTGAATGGAAATGTAAAATAGATCACTATTTTCACTGCTGTCTGAGAACAAATCCTCGCATGTCTTCTTCATGAATGTCAGTAATGAGTTCAAGCACCACATTATACCGTCATAATTAAAAGATGGATTTGTCAATTCTAATTTAACTCCTTTCAGAACATATATAAATAACTTCAAAGCAGCATCATAAACAGAACTTCTATGCTCACAGGTGACAGTTGTTCCAGATGCTTGATGGATGACAACAGATATCATTTTTAGGTAAAAGTCCAACTGGCTGATATCCCATGGCAGCCATTTGATGGGATGTTGCTTCCAAGAATATTTTCCAGATAAAGAAGGTCCAACTTCTGATAGTCTGGGTCTTGCCAGATTAGTTGACTGGTAGAAACCATCCCCACACTTCTGTAAAATACTATCACAGACCAGGTCAAGGCCCACATTCCATAACCAGATGCTCTTGCCATCCAGTGCTTTCCGAAAAATCGCATCAAGAATGGGCCCAAAAACCATTTTTATCACCAATGGTTCATTGATAAAGGTATCAAGCTTATATAGAAAATAACACCATGTATTCAAGCAAGACAACTGGACGGATATATCACATTTGCTAGACATAATGCCGATCAATGGAGTCATTATCAACTTTATACTTTTTGAAAATCTATTTGCTTCAATGTCACTGATATGATGTCCTATTCTATGCTGTTTCTGAAGAGAATTCTCCTCAGATGGTGTATTTTTCTGAGAAGCCATCTCTGGACAGTCAATGAGAGCGTCAATTAGACCTTCCCAGGCAACCTGCATAGATGACTTTGTGCATGATTTTAAATCATATCACTAAATGATATTGCTAATACTTTCAGCCTAATATAGCCCATCCCTATGAATCTGGCCAACAAAATGCAGTAACTCATATAAAGTACCTGAGTTGCTATTTGAACTTGATAGTCAAGATCTGTAAATGTACTCTCAGGAATTTTCAGCATCTCATTTACCAAATGCCTATTCTTCAAAGCATGAGACCCTAGCATGCGGACAAACCATCCCCATGCTCGAATAACTTGAATCTTCATACCCTGGTCGAGCAAATCCTTCATTCCAGTGAGCAATTTTTTCTTCAAATCTTTGACAATAGCCTGGGTAGAAAGGAGGCGAACAATAAGAACAATGAGCACATGTAAACTGATAGCCTTCACGATATAAATCAGCCTTGTAGACCAATAATGATGGACCATGCACAGTATATCAGCTCAAAAATTTGTTTAAATTGCAGGACCGAAGAAAAATCCTCACTGATTTCACACAACTGTCTGCCACAGAAAAATGCAGGCAAAAAGGATAAGAAGAATTTACACCGTGAAAAACTTGCCTTTGCTCAAAACTATTTATATATTATGAATCATTAGTCACTGATTTCATGGGTAAAAGGATGCAACAATAACCAAAAGGTCTAACTATATAATATATCATCCACCGAAGTTCAGAGTACAGATTCAACTCTTTATATTGAATAAACTTTGATAAGATCTGTATTTTGTTACCTTGGAGAGGTCCAGTGATGGAGGAATGATTATGGACCTGATCTTCAATAGGCACCTTTCTGAAGCATCCCTCTCCCTTTTCTCTGTGCTGAGAAGCCTCCTATATATTGGAGGAACCCATATATGTGATGAGCTTCTCATTTCGTCCCTTAACTGAGCAGCTAGCTTTATTACAGCCTGTTCATTAAAAAATTAAAGATGAGAGTTGAATTAATGTATCTCTTTTTCATTCCAAAAAAAAATGAGGGTTAAAAGAAATTGCATGAATATATCTATATAAGTTCCGATAAGAATATCCAGGACCAGCATAACCAGGCATATAGAAAAGAACACTCCCAGTTATTCATTTGTCAAAAGCATGAATTGTACACTAGTACCACATTGACAATTCACTATAGTGATATGACGCACGCGCACATTGCTTTGTTTTCAAGGTTGCAGTGCCAATATTTATCTGTCAACAATAGATTATATTGATGATCTTGAATCATTATAATGTTTATTTAACAATACAGTCCGTAGATTCATGAGAAAAGGAAGAAAAGTTGGATGCCTTTCCTCCTTTTCCTTTCTTTAAATAGGAGACGAATGAACAAATGGTGGCTAGAGGAATAAATCCTTCAGTTAGGCCATGCATGAGCACCAGAGTCCTAAATAGAACTATCAAACTACTAGAACATTGAAGAAATGAGAATAAGCTTAAACTCTGCTTCTATATGAAGACTACCCTAAAATTTCTCAATCAAACATTAGATATAATGGTGAGCCAATCAATTGGGAAAGTAACTAGACTTTTAGAAAATTAATACAAGGAGCCATTTTGCTAATCAATGTGACCACCACAAAAGTATAAAACAGGACGAGTTATGGTCTTCCATTACATCAGCAGGTAAAATTTGTTCATAAACTACTTGTTTTAGTTCAAAACTCGCAATGCCTTTCCTTTTCCCCTTCTACTATTGAATGCCATTGTTTCTTTCTTTAATTCTTTTCTAACAACCAAATACTTAAGATTTTTCACAAGGAAGGCGATATGTACCTGGCTAGCTTCAAACATTGTTGATAAAGAACCCATAGGATTGTCAAAGGCGTGAACGATTGCCAATAACAGAAAATGAAAGTGAGTTGCAATAATTGATGCATCTATTTGCTGGACAGAAATGCACCATACCCCTAGATTACAAGCCGACTGCAGCAATAGTTGAGCAAGTTAATATGATTCCACCAAAAGTTTGGCGGGGAATGAGAACTTATAAAACTATCGTGGTGAAAGAGAAGGACTCTACCTTCAATTTTGTGGTGGTAATGAGTTTGACCAATGACTCTAAAACCAGACTGGCATCTTCCACTGCAATTACAAGGAGAAAACAGTGTTTTCAAAAAAATATCAAAGTGGCTCAAAAACCCTTTAATTTATTTAAAGAAAAATGTATGTGTTTTTTCCTACAAAGCGGGTGCATTAAAAATCTTCATCATGTTAAATCAGAGCAAAGGAGCTGGACATTTGTCAACTATTAATAGTCAATACAATAAGGTAAACTTCAGCGTGTTAAATCAGAGCAAAGGAGCTGGACATTTGTCAACTATTAATAGTCTAATACAATAAGGTAAACTTCAGCGTGTTAAATCAGAGCAAAGGAGCTGGACATTTGTCAACTACTAATAGTCTAATACAATAAGGTAAAAGTGGGACTTGCTTTATTTTATATCAGATATTCGCGTGCGTGTGTGTGTGTGTACACAAACAACGCAGGTGAGGACAGAATAATACAAAAATACAACTGAACTTAGTTAACAATCCGCATACTATCTAATTACACAAACTGAGTGCTGAACTTAGAAAATATTTTATCCTTTCTCCATCTTATCCTCTATTAACTATTAACATCGCGATAGGAATGAAGGCAATAACACTAAAAGCTATTCAAAGACACATAATGAACATGGAACACAGCAACTTGAATAAGGTATTAAATGATGGCAGAGTAGTTGAAATTGTATCGGTTTGTGCAGACAATTTTAATTGTCCCCTGTAAATAAACCCAGATACCTCGAAGCGTGGCCACAGTAACGGGATGATAAATCATGAAGCCCAAACCCTTCAGCGCCTGCGCAGCTCTGGAAGCGAGAAAGAAGATGGGAAATATGCAATTAAAAAATCTTCAAAGCATTAAAGCAAATCCTGAGAAGGTAAAAAGCAGACTGATCCTCACATTTCTTCGTCGTCGTCGTGGATATCGGAAACCATCGAACAGATTAGAGTCCGGGAACATTCTGCTAAGGATTGGATAGAAGAAGGATTGTGAGCAGTGTGTTGTTGGAAATGCAGGAGCGTTGAGTAGCCCAAGGACTTGATCGATATGTCATTTGACGTTATTAGAGATTTGATTTGATGGATCTCGTCCGAGGAATTTGTCATAGTTAGACCACTAGCCTCTAGGAAGAGGGGAAGAAACTGAAACCCTTGCTCCTCCTGCCTGTGAGATATCGAAGCCCCTTTTCGCGCCAAAGCCCGGGAAAGGCGGTTTTCATTTTCAAAATAAATAGAAAAAAGAAAAAGACTGACAGAGACAATTCTGGGGACTTCTAACTCGTAACTCGTGAGATTCTCATGAAACTGCAAAACCGAAAACGAAAAACAAAAAACAAAAATATTGTTTGATGGTGAATTTTAAGATCAGTTAATTTTTGATTAAATTCAAGTTTTCAAAATATTTAATTGCTTTGAAATAGATAACAAACAACGACTTTCAAGAATCTATTCAACCTCCCTCACGGTTATCGTTTATTAAAAAACAAAAGTCTTAAGAAAATTCATGACAAAAAGAATTACATACTAAATAATTGGATCCAAGAACATCCATCATGCATGTGTTTATATTGATACAAGATAAATACATGAATATACATAAAATGAATATTGGTCTACAATCTGGTAAACTTCACGCATATTTATTATTTATATGATATAATAAACACGATATTACCAACAAAATATAATAAACATTATAAATATCTAATGTAGAATATATTAAAATCCTGAATTTTAAAATTATTGATTTGGCCGAAATTTTTTAAATAAGTTTGTAGCATTTTTAACATAGGTCAAATTAGACGAGGCTTGATTGGATAAACCTGGATTGAAGTCCTCTATAGTTGATATTTATGAGTTCACGTGAAGTTTTTTTAAAATACTTTTCCTCATTTTATTATTTTTATAAAATTTTTAATCTACACGATTCACTACACTAACCACACGATAAGATCATCATGTATTACGATCAGGTTTTTTACAAGGTGCCGGCAAGTAAGATCTTGGTTTGTAATATTGGATTGATGTTATAGTGAGTTGCAATTGTAAAATTTGATTATTGAAGTTAAATAAACTGAAGCTCGTACTCACGCACATTAATTTATTAAAGAGAAGGTAAAATCCTCTGATTTCTTTTCTATTTTATCATAATTATAGTTACCTCTTTTTTATTTTTAAAACCTGTATGAACTTTTCTCAGTATAAGTAGTTACAAAATGCAAACACTTTTTTATTTTTAATATTTTATTTTTATCCACTAAACCATTAGTTGATTGTGAGTCACGTGTGCCTGAACAAAATACCCCTCTAAATATATAATGTCTACAAACTATTCAAATTATCCAAAAAAATTCATGCATACATTTTTTTACATTTTTATTTATGTTATGTAAATGTATTTATTTAGTAATTTTAAAAAATAGATATATAAATTGGTTGAAATAATATTCAAACACGCAATACAAAAAACTTAAGAAATATTTTCATCAAAAAAATTATAAACTAAGAATTTAATATAGTAAGTTACTTAATATAATTTATGTTTAATTTTTTATTCATTAATTTTAACACACAATTTTTAAACTATTTATTTAAATATTGAAAATCTTAATTATTCAAATTTTTCTTAATTGGGGGAGAGAGTGGACAATCAGATAATAAGAACAAGTTAATAATTTTAAAATTTTAGTATAATTACCAATAAAAAATAGAGTATTTTAGAACTTTTAACAGAATATTTGTAATAATATTAGGAATTAGATTAAAGTAAAGTTTTAAAAATAAAAAAAAAGTCTCTATAATTTTAACAAAAGAAAAATTATGTATCTATATTTTACTCTAAAAAAATGCAGAGTCAGTCGTTCAAATTTTCCATGCAAATGAAAGTTTGAAATATCAGTGACAAGTGTTACAATTCACTTTAATTAGTCTCATATATGAAAAGCAGAACGTCCGTTGTGAACAATTGTCATGCGGACTGCAAAATTTCAGGGCACAAAAAAAGAAAAAAGAAAAACATTTCCCCATTGAAGGAACAAACTTTTTTTTTTCCTGGAGAAAAGATTCATTAAAAATTAAGGTGTGGCTGTGTGGCAGTACAAGTGTCAAAGCAGAAAATTACACTCAAGATAAATATGAGAAAACGGTTAGATATCAAATGAAGGGATCATAGATTACAAAAGGAAACGAAACTATAGGAATTGAAAGTTTAACAACCCAACTTTAAGGAAAAGTTGTTAGAAAAGACTTGACCACAAATTTAATTGCTCACAAAGACTTAGAAACTTATTTGAAATCAGGTCCTTTGGTGGCATAAATTGCTGAAAGCTGTGTGACTTTAATGCCTTTCCTTCTTCCTTTCTCCTTCTTCATTGTCAATCTCTTGTGCACCACCACCCATGACACCTCTTTCCCTACTTGTTCATCATTTCTTACTTTGCATCACTCAAACTCACCAATCTCTTAATGAATATGTCTCACAAGCAAAGAACTTGAATTAAATTTAGGGAAACCATTGAAGTTAGGGCGCAATAGAGAGTGAGGTTAGGTCTTGGTTATTTGAATGTTATTCAATCTTTCTTTGATTCTTTGATCTGTTTCTCTTGGTTTCAATGTTACTTGATCGTCGTCCAACTTTGATTTCAAGCCTCAATTTAAAGTGAGTGGGTTCGACTCATAGAAGCCTCTGACTTCATCTTCATTTGAGCAACGCAATCAAAAGCCCATTGCACCATTAGTAAGGAGATATTTCATCTCAACCTCCTCGGTTCTTCCACACTTCAAACTATCCAAACACTTCATGGCTTCCAAGCTTCATCGAATGGGTTTGCATTCCATCTGTGTTGTGTCTTCTTCTTTTTCTTCTTTCTTTTTCAAGCTGTTGGATGAATTATTTTAGTTTTTTCTCACAAGAGTTTTCTTGTCTACTTGATTACTTCTACAAGTGTGCAGAATTATGGTAATAAATTACCTAAAGTATTTCAGGCATCAAAACCACAAGAAAGTTGCATTTTTAATAATTAACAATTCAAGAAAGTTAGATAAAATAAATTATTTGATGAGAATATAAAGAATGAAAATAAAGCATTAAAATAACAATAAAGAAAATATAATCATTTGAAGTGTTAGAATTAAAATTCACCTTATAGATTATTAGTTTCTATCTTTTGAGTTAACTATAATCAATTTTAGTAACAACTATTTTTAAAGTATTATAATATTTTCTAAACTATTAGTCCCCTTTTTAATCAACATTGTATTCATTCTCACAATACTCAAATAACTAATTAAACTATGAAACTATAGTTTGAGTCGACATAAATTTATAGAATTATCTCTAACTTAGTTATTTATGTTTATTTATCTATATTTAGATTCTCTCTTTACCTCCCAATCCATCAAGACTAACTATAAATTTGATTAAATAGTAGCCAGTCATAAAATCAATATGAAAAACAAGAGAAATAAATATAATTAAAAAATATATATAAATATAGAAGCAAATAGTCAAAATAAAATAAATAAATAACTAGATTATCAATTGGACTACATTTACCACAACTGAATAATTTATAAACACATAATAAAATCAAATAACACTATTATAAAGCCCTCAATCATGAAAAATGATCACAGAAAAAATTAAGAAGTAGAAAAGAAATAATTGATTGTGATGTGTAAAACTTTTTAACAATTTCACTTCCAACCTTTAGAATGCTTATACGGGCTTCAAATATCTCAGAGAGAATTCTTAAGATTCTCAGACGAGTGATTAAACAATCTTGAATAAGGCTATAAGCTCTTATTTATAATATTTTGCAATTAATATTTCCTAATCCTTCTAAAATTACCATAATATCATTTTAGATTTGATATTATTTAAAATATTATCTTATTTTTAAAATAATTCTCATACTCCCTCCTGTGTGCGCGCCTCTTCAATGCATTTTTCCTTTATATGATTTTCCTCTTTCTTTTAATATTTTTTATAATATTTCCTACACACAAAAATGAAAGAAGATATATGAATATATTTTGTAGAGAATTTTTTCTTCATATTATAATTAAGTGATGGGGGAAATATATAAACATTAATTAAATAGATATGAAATTTTAATAAATATTATCAAATGCAAATGAAAATCTATACGTATTTAATTATGAAATATGCATTTATCAGTACTCTATGCTAGTGTTGTTAATGACTCTGATTTTCGGTTTGCAATGTCTATTGCGTGCATAATTATGGGAAGCTCGGGGATGATCTTGAGTGTTTGAAGAAAAATAAGTTGTTCATCTGCTACTGAACATGTTAGCATGCTTTTTTTTTTTATTCTCTTACCACATCCAAGGGGCATCGATAATTCTATTTGATTACGTGATTATGTGAAGTATTTACCATGATTAGTTTAAAACTGCAGCGAGTTACTTGAATGTCTTCTTCTCCACAGGCTTATCTGACGGTATATTGATTTGGTAGAAGAAAGTATGAATTGTTGAAGTTTTTGTGTGTTGCTTTCAGCTAGCTAGTGCTTTGTTATGATCCATTACAATAGAAGAGCTTCCTTGATGTTTGACAAACTGCCAATAGAGTGAAAGATTAAATAATTTTATCTATTCATATCTATTGTAGAATTTTATCCTTGTTGCTATGCTTTAATTATTGATGTGCGCTTAGGCATGTTCTGTATTATTAAGCGCTATGGATTTGTTATCTATTGCGTAAAATCCTTGTAAAATTTAATTGCACCTCCGACTCTACTGCCCTATCAATGTCTATGGGAAAACCATTCCTGAAAAATTAGGATGTCTTAAAAGAGGAAGTTCCCAACTTGTTTTGACTTACAAGCAAGCATCTTTTATGTTTTAGTGTTAAATCCTTTATGTAGGATTTACATTTTATAAAATGAGAATGTTTATTGTATTTTTAAATCCTGTAGTCTGCTCATCTTGTTGAGATGGAGGTGAAACATAGATGTAATCAAATGCTAGAACTTGTCTTTCCATTAAGTAGACTTGCAAAGCTGTTTGCTCAATGAAAACTGTTTACTTGATTGCCTTTATTGCTTAATGAATGTAAGAATATGATATATCAACGTTAGTGATCAGATAGTGTGAAACTTCTTAGTCCCTTCTTTTAAG